TCCAGAGTTCTGAAGGTGTCAACTGAGTTCTGTTTAAATACTTGGTACTGACTTATTTTCGATCTGCAACATTGAAATATTTGAGGTGGAGTTCAAGATGACGGTCGATACTTTGTTCGATGCTTAAGTGATAAAAGTTTCAAAATATTACCACTTGAAATATCTGAAAATTGTGTCCATATAACAAAGTACTCTAGTACATAAATTGTGAATGTATTCCTAGAATTAAAAGATGCTGCGAAAAATATCATATTCTGTCAGTCATTTACTTGATGACAGTTTGTGCCATATTGAGCCCTATTTTAAATATGAAAGTTCTTCGTTAACTGATCAAGATCATTTGAAATCCCTATCGATTCTACAATTATTCAGAGCACATGTTTTGCGTATATTTTATACCTTGATATTATTTAAATATGATGCATTTAAATAAAATGCAGTTTATATATTTTCCAAGGAACTATAAATATACTCTATTGCAATGTTCTGGTGAAATATCAAGTTTCTCGATCGGACTATAAATAGCGTTTTTTACCAATACATTATTAAGCTTATCAACAAATTTAAGATTTTTTGTAAGCTCCGTAACAACCGTTCGCCAGAGGCTTTTTAATGGGAAATCTTACATACTTCTTTAGAAAGGGAAAACATGAATTTTGTAATGTTCAAATAATAGTATCAGAGAAATGTAGGTTGTTTGTTACCTGAATAAAGTAGCGATACATGTGTACTCCTTTCCAAAAAGTAACAGATGAAAAACATTGGCCAATGAGTAACTTTTTGGATACTATAAAAGTACACCAAAATTAAAAAGCTTTTAAGAAATACAAATAAAAGCATAATGTGCCTTTAAAACGTTATTTTTATAATCTCGGGCCGATCGACACCCCACCACCACCCCCACCCCCTAGACCCCACAATGAGAACTTTACATATGAAGTTTCGCTCTTCATGTGTGACTATTTACTAAAATAGTTTTGCTGCCTGTACGGACTACTACTTAAGGTCGCATCTACACCTAGTCAAGTTTCTTAAATGTCACATTTAGATAAGCTAAATAAATGGCCCTTTCAACATTTTATCAGGCACATTTTTTACTGAAATGTCTTATTTAGAATTCCCGAGGATTTATACCTTTGTCTTTGCTAAGACTATCATATTTCTATAAAATGTGTAAATAAAAAAACGGGAAAATTATTCAATTAGCTAAAAACAACGGAGTCAATGAAAGGTGTACATTCTTCTAAAATAAATGGAAAATGTGAGAACAAAAATATGTTGAGCTTATTAATTGATACAATTTTTTTTTATTTGATGAAAGTTCTTCACTAACTGATAAAAATCATAATTTCCGAGCAACCAATTGCATACTTTCTGTTACAACTGAGTATATCATTACAGCTTAAATATAAGACCATCAACTATATTTGAAATGTCCCATCTTATTATATAGTTCCTTGTATGTCATTCAGATTTCAGAACAACGTCAATTTTTATTTAAATTATAAAGGCTCTATATTATTTTATAATGGCAGTTCATATTAACACCCTTCCTGCAAATTATGTTGCTGAATCATGATTTAAAATAGAAGTGATCGGTTGTATTAACTTCGATATTGGAAACTAGTTAATTAAAACAATGGATCAAATTGTAATTAGCCAACCAAACGAATAAAACTGGGGATAAATTCGAACATCGCCATCACTTTGTACTCAAAGAATTTCAACATCATTTGAACAGAAAGCCCTTCACTCAAAGTACTTCATTTAAACCGAAGAGATATGACCGTGATCATATTAAAGATTTGTTTGTTTGTTTGTTTCATTTTACGCCTTTTCCCAACAGTATTTCAATCATACAGGCGGGTAGTTTCCTAACCATCGTTCCTGGAGAGTTACACCAGTACTAGACTAACTTCCTCCGCGCTAAACTACCAAAGCATCTCCCGGGGATCGAACCCACGCCAGAGAGGTAACTAGATAAGAAGTCATCGACTCTAACCCCTCGACCACGGAGGCGGGTCTTTTAAAGATTAAGTGATAAACCAGTAGTCATTTCAGTTACTTTACATGTTAAAAATATGAATTCAAATTTAGAAAATTTTGATCTAACCAAAAGTTGTAGAAGTAAAACATTGATCGCCATGTTTTGTGGCAAAGTTTTTCACAGAAAGCTTGAATGTCAGGTATTTCCAAATGGATTAATCCATATATTTTTTCATAGCAAACAAAAACCTAAATTACTCTCCTGGCCCCGCAAGCGGTCGAATGTTCACCAGCCGGCTAACCGTGAGTGGCTATGTCAATGATTATATTTCCAAGAAATGAATTATTTAATTATACAGGTTTTTATGGACAAAACAAAGCATATATTTGTATTACATCATTAAATTCCGAATCCATTGGTGATATCAAATCATATGGAACGGATAGTACACGCTAAAAATTTTTAAATATCAATTTTTCAAATCGTTTAAAATTCAAATTTTATGAGAAATTTACCCAGTATTCATAATTTCCAATGCTTATAAAAAAATACATCTGTATTATTTATGAAAGCATAACAAATACAAATTTGTTGTAATAAAATATGTTATAGAAACAAACGCTGTGTTTTTTGTTACGGCATTTTAAAAAAGATGAATTTAATAAATCTATTGATCGTTAGGTGATTAGTAAAACACAGACCCTTAATTCACTAAACAACAGGTTGAAATAAAATATGTTATTGCAACTCTCAAGACGGAACCCGGTTTTTGAATAAGCACATTTTTGTATGTTAAAATGTCAACCAATCTCGATTTTCGTTTTGGGTTTTAAAAATTTTTTGATTAGTGAATATAATTATCACATTGGCACTTATCACATTGCACTAAATTACAGTCAGGCTGAAATCTTAAATGAAAGTTTGTATTTTGATTTCTTCGTACATCTTTTACGAGACGATAATAGATAAATATCAGTTAGTATCAAGATGAACTTTGAAAAGAAAAGCGTAAATATGAAGCTGGTCATGTCTGTCTTAAAAATGCCTTAAATTACCTTTAATCCCCATAAATTTCCAAAAATAAATGTCTCGAGAGGTGAAAAGAAGAAAAACAAACGAAAGACCATAGTTTTTCAAAATAGACGAAAGAAATAGTTTAGAAAATTTAAAATTGGTCATCTGTTTTAATAATTGAATATGTGGGTCCTGATTAAGAGACTAGTGGGCCAGCAAACTCAACTCGTGCCCAAAATAGTAAGATTTAGATCAGCCACAACGTATAAAACTGAATTACACTTAAAAAAGTACCTGCTTTCATATACAACAAAAAATACATTTCATCAAAAAAATAACGAATGCTTCTCTAAATTTCATAAGGCGAAATTTGGTTTTTGATATTAACATTATTTTAATATTTATAAGTTATAAGGCAAGTAAACATTTAAATTTTAAGATTTTTTTAAATTTCCCCAAAAAAATTAAAGGCGGAAATACCAAAAAATGGCAGGTTTCCTTTCCCCAAAAATATCTGTTAAAACAGTCAAATAAATTACCTTACTTTTTTTACATGGCAGAAATACTTTGTTAGTTTTTTATATCTAGTTTTGAGAATGTTTAAGGGCCTTATTTCAACGTTTGTATATAATTCTCCCAATGTTTCAGCATGGCTGATAAATTTCTCTGCCATATCTATTTCTGACATTCATACCTGGATTTCTAGGGACATTCACCCATTGTCCGTCCATCAGCACTTTGGTTGGGGCAGAACCAGATTTTATAAGTATACCGCTGTCCATTGTTAAAGTTCCGTGCAAATCACCCAAGTAACCTCGATAACTTATTGACCTATGAAACATGCCGTCTTTTAATTTTGTTTTACCACACTCTGTTTCAAAACTTTGAACCCCAAAACCAGCTTTTCTCAAAGCTGGTCCTATCAATTTGCACGTGGTAACATTTGTAATCAAAACTCTGACATCCCAGTCGAATTCCCACGGCAAAGCTTTTCCTAATTTTACGGCACCTACAGTGCTGCCCCCGTCTAATTCACAAATATTACCGGTGGACTCGCATACTTTCATAAAATTTTTAATAGCTGCATGATTGACCTGTAGAGTACAAGGCGACAAAGCATACGAAGCTCTGCTAGAAGGTGGTTTATTACCTGCACATGTGTTTGTTATTGTTTGCCCTTTGGGGGTTTGTATTTTAACCAAATTCCAAATTTGTGAAAATCTGCCCCAGTTAGGCTTTACGTCAGAAACAGCTTGATTATTCACGTGAAACATAGAATCTGGACACACGACTGATTCCCGACCCTTTTTAACAGTTCGTAGAAACCAGTCCTCGAATAATCCATTATGCTCGTCAAGAGTTTCAAATGTATTTTGTTTAAAGAATTCAGCAGTTGTGACAAAAGGTCCTTCAATATAATCACAGAACAGACATTCATGAAATGACTCATCATAGCCCTCCGTGTACCTTAAGGTGTAGTTTCTATAAACTGACTGATAACAGCCTTTCTTCCAATGCCCATTTTGTTCCCGAAATGCGCCTCCAGCTGCAACCACGTTCAAACTTTCGATTTCTCTAATCAGCCTTTCTAGTCTAGAATCAATAGTAAATATGTCTAAAGTTCTTGCCACTAAAACATATGGTGTTTTAACTGCTTTTATAAGATTTTTGAGTTGGCCCCGGATCGGGACTGGAATTTAATCTGGTAGGGGCCCCTTACTTGCTTAGGGTTTCTTTTCCCTAACTTCCCCCGGGAACGTCCCCGAATCTACCCAAATTTATTAATTGGGCTTTTGGAACTATGTCAAGTACAGATAAATGCAATTTTTTCCAACATTGTTTTAAAGGTTTAATTTCCTCCATTTTTTGGTTTTCGTTCAAAAAAATTTTTTTAAAAACCCCCTAAAATAAGTTTTTGACAACTTTCCACAGAATTTCCCCACCCCCTTTTCCGAAACCCCTTTGTAAAAACTTTGGGGGGAACCCCTAGTTTTGCCTCCCTTTTAAGTTTCTGCGCAAACTTTGTAAAATTTTACACTTTGTCTTTCATAAAGATCTGCAGTGTTAACTTTCAAGTCTTTCAGTATACTATCCATGACAAGAATGGCTTGCTTCAGGTAGTCTGATGTCTTTGATCCTCGCACGTGCTTTTTGGCGCTATAAATAATTTTTGCGAGTGAAGTTACCTTGTCCTTGGTTTTTGGATCAGAAAATATTGTGGGATCTATTTCTTGCGTTAGATGTTTTGTAACGTTATCAGTATCCGGCTGATATACTATTGGCTGTAAATGACATAAGAGAAATGGAGTTTTAAAAGAGACACAAAGGTTTGATAGCAAAAGCTTGATGTTAAGTAATTTAAGTTAGCAACGACATTACTGTAAAAGTTGATTTATGAAAAGAAAAGAGCAAATACAGCAAAAGTTGATTGATATTTGAATAACAGTCCATCATGAGGACAACGTTCTACCATTGCTATATTCTATTACATGATACAAATAAAAAAAAAATTAAATACCTGTTTATTATCTTGCCTAACTGCTATTTCAATGGACTGAAATATTAGAAAAAATATACATTATAACAAAATTGGCTCATTTTCCTGCATACCAGGTATTAAACAATTCATCACTTAGAGAAAGCAGAAAATGGACGACAGTTGAACTTTATTGTCTGAAATAAAACAAAAACTTAATGAATAGACCGATTGAATTGCTTAACTATTAGACAATAGAAGGTTTAACCATCAGTATTGTTAAAAATGAAAAATGTCAGTAGCTGGTAGATATGCATTTATCATTGTGAATATCTAAGTGTAAAGAATTGATAACAATGAAGAAGTGAAAACTTGAAAATGATCAAGAATGTTTGCACGTGAAATTATTTACTAAAATATCAGTTCAGTTTGGAAATAAATTTGTCGACACATATCCACTCGTCTCTAAATTTATAAGCGTATTATTATAATCACAACGCAGCTTAGGATTTCATCATCATCATCATCATCATCATCATCATCATCATCATTATCATCATCATCATCATTTTTATCATCATTATTATTATCATGATCATGATCATCATCATTATTATCATTATCATCATTGTTATCATAATCATAATCAGAATCATCATCACCATCATTATTGTTATTATTATCATCATCACCATCATTATTATTAGCATCATCATAATCAGTATCTTCATCATCGTTATTATCATCATCCTCATCATCATCATCATTACCATCTTCAATATCATCATCATCATTATCATCATCACCACAATCATCATCATTATTATCATCATAATCATTATCATAATTATCATTATCATCATTGTTATCATCATCATAATCAGAATCATCATTGTTATCATTATTATTATTATTATTATCATCATCGCCATCATTATCATTAGCATCATCATTATCATCATCATCATCATCGTTATTATCATCATCATCATTATCATCATCAACATCATCATCATCATCATCTTATCATCATCATCATCATCATCATCATCATCATCATTATTATTATTATTATTATTATTATTATTATTTTTATTATTATTATTATTATTATTATTATTATTATTATTATTATTATTATTATTATTATTGAGAAGTTTATAACAACAAGAAGATAATCGACTTATTGACTGTTTAATGCATAGATGCAATATTGTCTCATAAGCATTAATACTGTCAAACATTTTAGACATACCTGGCTGGAATATGATCTGTAAACTGTAGATGTGATTAAGACACTACATGCCAACAATGAGGCAAATAAAACCCTCCATTTATGTTCACACCATGACATCTTTATTTCCTATCTGTAAAAAGTATATCAAAATATTGAATGATTTTATTGTGTATCTACTAAGTTCGGATATTTCATCATTGAACGTAAACTTTCCTTTTATTGAGGCAATCTATTCCTTTTCGGTTATGAAAAATAAAAAAGCTGATTTCTAAAGCATAATTTAGGAAAACAAACTACCTTTGTGAGCTTTGGTAGAATGTAATCACTATGAATTTATCACACAGAAGTACAAAATAAAACAGTACATAGATCTAATAGAGTGAAAACTATGTTAACTTTTATTTCAATATTAAGGTTTACATAGCTTTTGGCTTATAATCTAGACATCTATTTGTTACAAAGGGTTTCCCCTTAAATAAATACATGTGGATTAAATTAACTGAAAATACAAATACTTTTATCTAAATATTTTCATTTATTGTAAAAAGTTTTGACCTCCTAACAATACATTTGGATAAAAGTACAAATACATAAATATGTACTTAATCTCCCCTTTCATGGTCATGTAATTTAATTTTCACAAATGTTTAAAGAAAATATAAACTTCTATAAAGCATTTTCAAATATATTTAAAGTACATAAGATAACATAAATATTAATTCCATTGAAAGGTATTATAAGAATGAACTATATATTGATACAAACAGGGTGAATAACCACGTGGTAATGTTTTTAGAAATTGTCAGTCACGGCTAAGGGCGGCGACCGTAAATTCAAAAGTAAAATGTTTTTGTGGTCTTAATTTAATCTGACTGCAGTAATCCATGTTTAATGTAGCACATTTTTCAACCAACATTACTGCCTTTCCAGCGGTTTTATATTTAAACCGATTAATGCCTTAGTTTTTTGGAAGAACCTCTTGTGAAATTTGAAACGGAGAAGATTTTTTTTATTCGTAACTAAGGTAATGGTGATGAAAAGTTTGTTGACAAATTTACTAGTACTATGAAATTATCTTATGTGTAATATTTAACATTATGTATTTACAATAATATAATTGAACAATGTTCAAAATATTAAAATTACAATGGTTAGGAATCGTATCTAAATGGTGAAGATGGAGAACTTATACTATAGTGACATCTATGAGACTTCTTTCATTATGTTTGCAAACTTTTCAGCAAATGAGATGAAGCTTGCAATTGTATCAAATGAATGGGAGATTATTGAAGTTCCAGCTCCTTATTTTTGAATATAAACGTCTGACATATTATCTGTTGCTAAATATCTTTTGTAAACTATTTCTTTTCTTTATCATTACCATAAGTACATAAAGAAATGTTGTGCCGACAAACACATGTACACTGTAAATACATTTTTAGGTGTTCATTATTTGTGCTAAAATATGTTCACAACTCAATTCAATTAAAACTGACTTGTTTTAAAAAAAACAATTCCAATGGTTTTTGTCACCACTGATGTAAGATAAATCCGTTAAATTACAATATTGTCTTGTTCACTCTTGAACATTTTAATAAATTGTTATCAATTCATGTAATACTTTGCCATAATTATAATCACATGTGTTTGGACACGTTCAAATTTGTTAAAACATTGAATAGACGCTAGATTCTATATCTTTGTTACATAGACAAAACAGGATCAAATAATGAACACTGTGTTCTTAAGGATTACAGGATATGTTTCTCACATAATGACACATAATGACAAAGTCTAAACTATTTTTGGTGGGAACTCTAATTCCTTTTACATTTGAACAGTTTGAATGTTTTTGGGGGTAGTAAATTGAAAAAATCCATTCTATTTCTGTTAAATATTGTAATTAGGCCAATTAGATCAAAAATCAACACAAATTTAACTATCAATACATGTTTCGCTTCATTAGCTTTGTCAGTTGATACATAAAGGAAAAATTGTAATTGTAAATCATCCAAAATAAACACATGTTTTTGTTGTTTTTTTTATAGATTAATCAAACGCGTATATTCAATTATAACGATGTTTTTATAAGATTGTATCCAATAATGATTTTTACTGACAAATGCGCTTAAACAAGGTATTTTTGGGTATTGGAACTTTATTTGGGACATGCAAATTAAAACAGTCATACAATATTATGATAAAACATACATTGTCTTGTTTGATGAACTTCAAAACTTAATTAAAGATGTGAATAAATTGGTAGCAAAAAAGTCACTTGTGAAATCTCAAAATATATACACGACCAGTAACTGTTTATGTCTTCAATTACTTTGTCAAATCAGAAGCTAGGAAGCTCTGAAACCTAGAACCGAGTGTGCCAAAAACATTGCCATAAGGAATAGGTATACTAAAAAAAATCAAAATGAGCCGCGTCACGACAAAACCAACATAGTGCGTTTGCGACCAGCATGGATCCAGACCAGCCTTCTCTTCCGCGCAGGCTGATCAGGATCCATGCTGTTTGCTATCAGTTTCTCTTCTTGTAATAGGGTTTGTAAGCGAACAGCATGGATCCTGATCAATGGAATAATATTGTCTTGTTCACTCTTGCACATTTTAGTGAATTGTTATTAAGCAAATGGTAATGCATAATATACTTTGCCAAAATTATAATCAGATGTGTTTGGACACGTACAAAGATTTTATCACCTTAAATAGACGCTATATCTGTGTCACAAAGTAAGACAAAACTAGATCAAACAATGCACACTGTGTACGGATATGTTTCGCGCGCAATTACAAAGTCTAAACCAAAACTACTAAGTGTGTGTATGCGTGCGTGCGAACGTGTGCGTGTGAATACTAAGTCCTTTTAAACATGAACAGTTTGAATGTTTCCTATCTTATTTTGCTTGTTTTATAGTAAAGTAAAACATCCATTTCGTTTTTATTATAATTCAGAGAGACAAATACACTTTTTATCAAACGCGTATGTTCATATATAACGAGTTTTTTATATGTTGATTAGTGAATACACAGCTGTCAAACCAATAATGTAGGTTTTGCAGCTGTGTACGATTTCCAACAACATAAGTATTACTCTCAACAATGTATAGTGATCTCTTTATTTCACACCAATATTCTTTTTACATATTGACAGAATTTTGTTACTTCAAGTACAATAAGAATTTGATTTAGACTTAAGGACCCCCCACCCCATTCCAAAAGGGAAATAATTAAAAAAACAAGGCTAGATGGCGTATGATATCCATTTAAATTGTTTTGGACTTCTAAATTGAAAATGAGCCAGTATGATTTGATTTTTTTCCTCTGTAAATAAAAAAACGAAAAAAAAAACGAGGCTAAATTAATAAGATTGTATCTAATAATGATTTTGACTGACACATCACGTGGCCGAAACAATTATAGTTGGTTGGTTATATCAAAATGCCTCAGAAATAGATATATTTTCAATTCTTTAGAAATGTCAAACATGCGTTTAATAATATTTAAAAAAATGGATTAAGCGCATGTTAGATGTTTTACACCAGAAAAAAGTAGCGCAGAAAATGCTATGTGTCGTAAAGGTAGCAAAATGTAAACAAATTAGTATTTTGATTTTCAAATAAAATACTATTTCATTATAGTATTACTAATTGCCAACAGAACTAAAGATATTTTTGTTTATGGGAAATGAGTATATTTTTTTGAGTAAACCTTAACTCAAAACAACGTGAGAAAACAATACAAACGTCAATTGTACCACAACTAGCTTAATTAGAGCTACATTTGTTAGATGAATAACAGAATAACACAACTGTATGAAATTTTCAAGAAAATACTTGCGACTAATATAACTATGATCATCGTTGAATCTTTATTACATTTTTATATTTGATTAAAAAAATAATAGGAATACGTTTGTAACCAAAATGGCTTGAAGTATAAATTTGCAACCAAACTGCGCTTGAACAAGATATATGTTTGCGTATTGTTACTTTTTTTGGAACATGCAAATTAAAACAGTCATATAATATTGATAGAAACATACTTTGTCTTGTTTGATGAAATTCAAAACTTAAAGATGTAAATAAATAAGAAGAACGCAAACCTGAAAAAGTCACTCGTAAAATCTCAAAATATGTACATGACTAGTAACTGTTTATATCTTCAATAACTTCGTCAAATCAGAGAAGCTGAAACCTAGAACCGAGTTATAAATAGCCATTCTGTAGCCATCTTGTTAAAGTTTGCAACCGTTTCGCTCCATTGAACCAAGTGGGCAACCAGCAAGAAAAATCACGTGACAACATCGATCTTCAATATCTAGATTACTTGGTTTTACAATTATATTTTTTGCAATAACTTTAGCACATGACTTCTGCTTTATTCTGTCGATTTTCAGTTAATTAATAATAGCTAGATTCAATTAAAAAAAAATCGTTGATGTCACTGAGTTGTTAAATTGAAACTATTTGCAAATACACTTGAGTATTCATCCGCGAGATATGTATGCATTCTCTCCATTTATAAAGCATTAAATAATTAATTATTAATGACTGTTTAATTTAAACATATTTTATTCATAATGATACACAGTACATGGTATATTTGATTTCAATATATACAGACTTGAAATGGATTGGAACGAAAGATATGAAATCCTATAAAGTTCTTCTCCGAACCGTTGTTTATAGATGTTTAAACAATAAAACTGTTAAGCATAATCGTACGTACATGTTTATTTTTTTTTTAAATTAACTCTTGTCACTTTGCTTTTAATCCTGTGCATTAATTTGATAAATTGAGTATTCTCCGTCGGTAAGGTTGAAAAAAATAGAACTTTTGAAAATTCAGAATTAAGTAAGCGCTGGGTTTTCATCATAAAAATAATTATATAGAACATTTTTCATTTCGAATACTCAGTTGATTTTTAAAGGCTTAAAAAATTGAACATAGTCCCATAGACATACTTTATATTGCGGAGTAATCGAAAATTAATGTTGTCAGTTCTTCAACTTCCGGGTGAACAAATTGTTTGGTAAAACCTTATACACGAATTTCTCGAGAATAAAAAACTGCTTTCCTCTTCTAACAACAAAATTATTGTACATGATGCAATATAACTATATAAGTGATTTTGAAGATGAGTATCATTATTTTCAGAATATGTTCATTTTCATTATCAGTTATCACTAAAAATGTATTTTCGTTATTAGTTTAAACAATATTTTATTTCTATTTTTACAACATATATATGTACAGTAAGCATATATAAACACACTGATATATTTCGTGGATTGGAAAACAAGTCAAATGTGACTTATGTAAATTCCTTTCCTTTTAATATTTTCGTTATTAGAATAATATCAAGAATGTAACTGAGCTAAAGTGTTGTTGTTGCAGAGATAAAATAGATGATTAATTGATAAAAATGAATCACTTTAAGCTTGAAGCATGATTTTATACAGACCATTCAGAGTTAGATTCTACATATAACTTTGACCAAACTTAAAACTGTGATAACATTCTAGTGTCCACGCATCGGCTTCGGAAACGGATGCATGTTTGGGATATATTACACCGAAAGCAAGATAATATTTACCATATCCCAGATAGATTTATACTTCCTGTTTAAATCGTACTTATATTTTAAATAGCATGTAAAAAGGAAAATTGGTTATAATCAATACTGCCCTGTGAGATATTCACTAAATTTGAAAGAAAATTAAAGTTTGTTCTTATGTTGGTAATACTGGTAAAAATTGATATACTTTAATATGTTTCATTTTCTGAGTAATAAATAATTTTAGACCAAAATATTAACATGACAATGCAATTATATTCAAAGAAATAAAATAACATATTTCCCATAAATGTTTTTTTTCTTTTCTTAAGAATCTATCCAGGTAACTTACGGAATGTTGGTTGTTCTACTCATTCTACCCGTTTATACCTAAAGTAATACCCGACAGGGCACATAAGCCCTTCACTGGACATTTACAACATTTTCAATTATGTCGTTCTTGGACGTTCTATAAAATTCAATTTTTATCTATTTTACCGTATTTATTACCACGTAAAACCCAGCCAAAGAACTGGAATAGTGTAACACGTTGTTACTAAACTGCATATACATAAACAGTACATGGAAAACTGGACTTACCTAATAAATGCGAGATTTAACAATCCACTCGGGCACTGACTAACCTTAACAATCCTCTTTAAACTAACGTTTTAAATTCTTTCATTGAATATAACTTAATAAGACTACGCTACATAATAATTTCAAATACCTATCTTTTTGACCTAATAACGACGATACTTGCGCCTATTCGCATACTTAATAAAATAAATTGAATATCGATTTACAAGTGCATAATCGTGCAATCGCCACAAATTTGTTTTGTTATGTGCATTTACGATTGTTTTTGCCGGTAAGTCAAAAGTTTATTCTGCTTAAGTTAAATTAATTTCAAGCTTTTTGTTAAGCTTGTTCTGTCCATGTTTTATCATGTTGTATTCCGAATGCCTAACAATAACGTGTTGTATTATTGATATAATTTTTATGGTACTTATCCGCTTATGGTATATATTCAATATATTTTTTACATATACTTATCTGCTTTAAAGAAAATACACACAATAGAAAGTGTAACAAACTGTCCAAAAAAAGAAAATTTCAATTGTCTGTTAATGAAATAAAGACCTGTTGTAGTGCCAGAACAATAGTTTAAAGAATTACTAGAAATTACAAGAGGTGACCAACAAAGCAAGCGGAAAAGTGTTGTAATTTTATTAAGTTTATGACAATATCAAGAGAGCAAATCATTAATGAAGAGCAATTTATTTTGTATTTATGCCCAAATTTACGTATCGCTATCTATATTTGTTTATTAATTATGGTCTCCATAGAAACTGCATAACAGCAGATTCGTCCAAACAACATATTTTTCCTGTGAACCCGGTTACAGTACTAGCTATTACACCATTCAGTATAGTGATGTAATCTGCATAAAAAAGAATGGTCTAAATATGTTTACGTCAGTTGGTTTATTGACTTCACATCTGACGTCAAAATGTAAAATGGAGAAAAATCTGAGTCTCTGAGAGAAAAAAAAAAAACACTCAGAACGTCAAAATTGAAAATGTTGCAGGCTCGGATTGATTGTGCCTGTGGTAGTGGTAAATGCGTGCTACCATCAGCCCCGCCTAGTACCGCCTAAAACATACGTTTAGAGCAACGGCCTTCGTTTTGGACAGAGGACGACGTAAGCAGGATACGTGTCAGGGGATATTATGTGACAGTACTTTTGTCAACATAACCAGGAATCTGATCAAGATCCATGCTGTTCCATGCTGTTCGCTTACAGACCCTATAACAAGTATATATAACTGATAGCGAACAGCATGGATCCTGATCAGACTGCGCGGATGCGCAGGCTGGGTTGGATCCATGCTGGTCGCAAACCCATTATGTTGGTTTTGTCGTGACGCGGCTCATTTGTACAAAGTTTTATTCTAATAAAATCTTTTGTCATTGCCATTGTCATTTTACAGCATACTTTTCACAAAATGCTGCATGCGATAGTATATTTATGAAGCCCAAAACCCTTTGATTTGGTGACGAAGCCTTTCTACATGTAAGAATAATAAGTTAATAAGGGTATAGTTAACAAATTTACCTATAAGATTGGAGGTAAGCTATTATGATCCGTTAAATCATAATAATAAATTGTTAGTTGATTGTAGTATGATTATAAAGTCAAACAGCATAATTATACATGTATAACTATCATTGTTAACTTGATGGGCTCTTCAAGTTTAAAGGTCCATTATACCTCAGAAATGATTGAATATTAATTTTAAAAACTTTTCTATTTTTGTTGTCCGGTTATGTATACTAAAAAGTATTTGAGCCGCGTCACGACAAAACCAACATAATGGGTTTGCGACCAGCATGGATCCAGACCAGCCTGCGCGTAAGCGCAATCTGATCAGGATCAATGCTGGTCGCTTACCAACTCTATAACAAGATGATGAACTGATAGCAAACAGCATGGTCGCAAACCCATTATGTTGGTTTTGTTGTGACCCGGCTCATTTTGTACGACAGTCAAAATAATACTCTGTTTTGTAACCAACTACTTCGCATTCAGCACTTCTCCAGGTGGTATGCATCTAACATGCTCTTAAACCATTACCTTAACTCAATAATCTATCATATTTACCATTTTTTAGAAGGTTTTAACTGTTGAATAATCATGAAATGCAAGTCCTTACCGTAATATTGTCAGACTTTCGTGTTAATACAAAAAAGGACAAACAATCAACAGTAGTCTTCAATGTGATATACACAAAAGGTTTTCAACTTTTCATTGCCATATGTAATTTGTTTTAAAATGATCCTTTCAACTGAAGTGTTGTTAAATAAGCAAACCGCATATTTCTTTTACACAAAAAGAACCTAACCCATTTTTTAAAGTTCAGATTTAAGTGGGCTAAGTGTAAAACGTTTATTGGTTAAATTATAAAAACATAACCTTTAACTAGGTTTGTTAAATCATGAACCGAACACAATTAATCCTTAAATGAGAAGTTGATATCTCGATTTCTCCTTGGGTTATACCAAAGACAAAAAAATATTTATGAAAAAAAAATGGCATAAAATAAAATAAGATTTCTTACTAAAATAGTTTAAATCTAATTTATCAGACAAATTGCGACCTTCAAAAACCGAGTGGAAGGAGAAAATTAAAGGAATCTCTATTAATGTGACAGTACTTATTTGGTTACTTCGTTGCTCTCCCTATTGTTCCTTTAACCACATTTAAGAAAAGTAACCACAAATTAAGCTTACAAAATGAATAGCATTTAAGAGAAAGTATGTAAAGTTACTCGTTTTTTCCTGTAGTTTCAAATGTTTCGAAGAGGGGAAATAATCGAAATAACCATTAATCGCAAATGTAGTCATGAGTTATGGTTTCTTTTACCTAATCGAGAGTATTATTTATTTTTACTGTATTTAACTTTTTTTTCTTTATTATAGTTTCGTTAATGTAATAAAATATATACAACATATCAAAAATAAAAATTTAAAAACTTTAAAAATTTTTAAAAAAAATCACTTTGTCTTTTGTGCAGAGTTTTTTAGAACTCATCTTGGGCGAATCAAAAACATTTGAGCGCTCATGAAAAATCAACATAGTGCGTTTGCGCCCAGAAAGGGGATCCGAGCACCTGCACATCCCCATCTGATCAGACCCCATCTGTTCGTTTAAAAACCCTAGTAAAGTACAAAACGGGTAGCGAAACTTTCCCGAGGGACGGGGGAAAGGCGCAGGCGGGCTGAACCATGTGGTGAAACCATTATGTTTTTTTTGGTGTGACGGGGCCCTTTTTTATCAGTTACGTGGGACCAATATAAGAGATTTTTCCTGTAAATTAAAATTTTCATGTAAATTATAATTTGAATGTCATTTTTTGGAAATTCTTATTTAATTTTTTTTCTATAAACGTTTTTTTAAATTAAAGAAGTTTTTACATTACAATACTAAAATTTAAAATAAATAGGATGATTTTAAATAAAACAATAGCAGAAAACTTAACAATTTCTAATAATTTCCTCTATTGAAAATAGAATGGATGTTTTGATAATAATAAGAAAGATATCAAGAAAAAAATAAGTTGAGCATTCTTTGTAAGTGGGGATTGACCAATCTTAAACTTTGGGAAAAACAAAATGAAATACAAATAATTGAATAACGAAGGGCAACCATCGTATCTTTTTATATAAAAAGTTAAACCCTAAAAAACGCCCAAAACGGAAACATTGAAAATGTTTACAGCTCGGCTTGACCGAGCCCCTTTAAATGGACGATAGATTTAAGTAATAGATTAAGTAAAAACGCTCCGTTCACGATCGCTCAATGAACCGCTAAAGCAAGATGGCAGCATTCAAACACGGACGATGGTGTGTTTTTTTTTTTCGGCAAAAGGCCGTCTGATTTCACAATTGACATTTCCGCTAAAATTAACAGTAAAGAAATTAATATAGGCAGAATTTCTCATTGGTCATTTTAACACGCAATAGCCTGTCCGAGCTTCCCGTTATAGTAGAGTTTTTTTTCAAACTGTTTGATTGCTTTTTTTATGCGTTTATAAAGGTTCGCCCGCCGGTAAAGCTCATATGGGCGACCGCGGACACGTCAAGTCCGGGCCATCCTAGCGCAATTCCGCCCGGTTTTTTTTTCGTCGATTTTTTTCCAGCTTTATTGGTGGACGGAAGAACCCCAGGTGCCCTCCGGGCATTAATTTCAGCACTGAGGGGACATGGGTAGAACACCGACATTCCGAAGCCAGGTGGATGGTTCCTGCAATGAAAGATTTTGACCCGAGTGAGGATCGTAACTTTAAGCACGATGAGGGAGGCTGTGATTCTCAAGTGAGCCCGACCTTTACACCATTTCGGCCACGGAGGCCCCCCCATATTTTTGATTGGGCTCGATTGGAAGAAGATATAAGTCAGAACAAATTAAAAGCACATATATTGATAATTTTTCTAGATGTTTTCAAAAAGGGGATTTAAATAAATATAAAATTTAAAATATAAAGTTTCGTTTTTATACTTTTCTTGGTTGGGTTTTCTTCTAAGATGTTTTTTATCATTATTTTTCTTTTTTCTCAAAACCCCCCAAATAAACGATTAAAACAACTTTCACTAATTTACATTTCAAAATTCTCTTTTAAATTTTAGTGTAAAAATCTAGGGAAAATGTTTTTAAAAAAAAAACCCCTTTTCCCAAATTAAAAATTCCCATTTTTTTTAAAAATCAAATAATGTGATTTTATTTTTTAAATTATGATAAAAATTAAAGGGGAAAATTTTTGGGGGAAAAAAATAAAGTAAAATAAAACTTTTTGAGGGGGGAAAAAATGTTTGTTTGGGGTTAGCATTTTTTGGGGGTAGCTTAACCCCCCATGCAAGAAAAACAATTTTAAACTTTCCCCCAGATTTTTTAAAGATACTTCTTGTTTTTTTGTTGTTGTTGTTTGTTTTTTTTTGTTGATGTTGTTTTTTTTTGGGTGTGTTGTTTTTTTTAAATTTAGAAAACATCGGCCATGTCTTTATACTCCGGTGTTCACTCGAATATTCAAATGTGACACGCATGTGGCTTTCTAAGCGAAAAAATGGCTTATGATCCCAATTAAAGAATGCATGTTGTACCTTAACCAATGAAACAATTGGCGGCATGAATCACCGCTATTATAAATACATTTAGACTTACAATTTTCGCCCAAACCCCAGCCGATTTTTTTCTTGGTTGGGTGCTTGCATTTATTCGTATTATTCCCAATTTTGGCGGCGCAGGAACTTTCGTTGTGATTGAATCATGAAATCCTTTCTACGGTCATTCGCACTGTACCTCTTCTCTTGCATGTCAGAAGTAATCAGTTCCCCTGCAAAATGTGAAAGGCAAA